TTAAAATTTAATTTAAGATATATTAAAGTTATAACTATAAAATAATTATATATAATTTATAAATTTTTAATTTTAATTTTATAATTAAGATTTAATAAAAAACTATAAAAAAAATAAATTTTTTATTTTATTAAAATTTATAAAATTAAATATAAACTACTTTATTTAAATAAAAATAAATATTTTGAAAATTTAATTTTTTTTTAATTTAATAAAATATATATAATAATTAACTAGTAAAAAATTAATTATTAAACTTAAATATAAAATTATTAATAAATATTTTTATTAATAAAATCTTTTAATATATATATATATATATATATATATATATATTTAAAAATTATAAAATATTAATAAAAAAACTCTTTAATAATTATTTAAATAAATTTAAAAAATATTTAATAATAAGTTTAACTTTAACTTACTTTAAAATATATTTAAAGTATAATTTATACTTTTAAAATTTTAAAAAAATATAATATTTTTAATATTAATTTAATTATAATTTAAAATATCTTAATAAATAAAATTAAACTTTAATAAAAAATTTATTTAATATATAAAATATAAAATAAATATAAAAATAAAAATATTTTAATAAAATAAAAGAAAAAATCTTTTTTTCAATAATATAATTAAAATTTAAATATAATTTTTATAATTCAATTAAAAATTTTAAATTTTATTAATAAATTATTTATTATATAATAATATTAGAAAAATTTAAAAAAAAAATATTTTATTAATTAATGAAATATTTTTTTTCTCTTAATTATTATTATTTTCTTTATTATTAAGTTGTTAAAATATATATATATATATATTATTATTATCACTTTTTTTATTATAAATTTATTATTAAATATTAAAATTATTAATAATTTTTTTAAATAATATAAATATTTCTTTTATTATATTATTTTATTTTACTACTTGATTTATTTATATCTATTTTTTTTCTTTTTATAAATATTTATTAAATTAAATACATATAATTATAATTTCTTTAATATATATATATATATATTTATTTAAATACTATATTATTCTGAGATAAAACTATATAGTTATATATTTAAACTGTATATATATATCAGATTTATAAGAAAAGAATCTAGTGTAATTAGATAAATATTTTAGTTATTAACTATATATACTAAATATCTTCACTGAGTTAGTCAAAGGGATGCTATATTTAAAAGACAAAACAAGAGCAGTTCACACTATCAATACACTGAATCTTCATTAGGTTCCATCATCTGAGTTATATTGTGCATCTTGAAGTGTTTCAATCATGTTTCAGGATAGATTGAAATTGGATTTCTTCCGCTGTCCACCATCTGAAAAGACAAGGCGCCATAATCAGTTGACGCAAGGGATCAAGAATTGATAATACAGAGTAAAATAATCTTCTGTAATTTAAAGAAAGTCCTCTTCCCCACTTATCAATTCTTGCTTCGCAGCCGCCGCCAGTTCTTCAGTACTCATATAATTCCATTTCTCAAACCCGTTCGACAGTGCTCCCCTTCCCTGGGCCTTCATAGTGAATGCATATTCAGAACAGAACCCAGAAGAACAACTGTTGAGCTCGTGGATCCAACACCGTTTCCGAAGAAGTCGGAAGTGGCATGTTCGTAATGTTCCCTCCAGAGCTGCCTGGACCAGACCTCCGAAAAATATGCTCAGCTTGGATAGAAAGTAGGGCTGATCACCAATTGTTGGCCACTCCTGCCCGAGCACGCGGAGCTAACATCTCCACCAGACCCCTCCTCGACCTTATCAAAATAGCATTTGAGCCCATCGTCCATGACATCTGTGACTGGGACAAGGAAACTGTGACTGGGATATTGGAAGAGATGCATTTCAATTTTCGGAGCAGTTATGTATTACATAGATTGTCAGAGATGAATAAAGTGTTTGAGAATTAAATATACTCGCAGCCCACAACGCAGAGGTATGAAGATAATAAACACGGTAGTTGAAAAGTAAAAACCACATCGTCGCCGGTCGCACGTCTCAGTCTTGCAGCAGATTAAGCCCATCAAATGGGCAGATGTTGATGAAATCGTCACGCCTCCTTGCCTCTCAAGGGAAGGCCCTGGGCCAGCTCTGGTGGACAAAGGATCCATTTCACAATATCACGAACTAAAGGCTTGTTATGGCAGGACATGCTGAGATCATAGGAACGTCTCAGCGAACTTGTCAGTGTGGGGTTTGGTCAGACGGGTCGCAGGTTGCCTGGACCACACACACTTTCCCAACCATAAAGGACACGACTGTGGCCTAGATGGATATCAGCATTCGCATGTCAGAGTATCCCCTTCATCTGTCCAAAGTAATACCTCACTAGCGGCCGTATTGGGTGATAATTAGCTGCGAAACAGGCCAGTTTCAGAGACTGCCTACCTCTCCTTGCCAATCAGCCCGTAGTGTAAATTTACACGCTGATAAAAGAGATGCTACTTTGCACGAGTTAACTTGGACAAGGGAAAGCAAGGAGAACACGACGGTGACCATTGGCTACCAAGCGTCAACCTAGCACAGAAAACAATGGGCCCACAAACCTGTTATAAAAAAGGTTACTGAACATGAAACAGGGCAAGCTGAGTCGAGCAAAAAAATAGTGCAACTTCACTTGCTCTTGTTCCCCGCGTGAGATGTCAACTCGATTTATCAAGCTATCAATCGTTATATCCATCCAACCGGACCAACCGTCGTCCATGAGCGGGGGACCAGAGATATTCACTGGTATCAGGATGGCTGATCCTCGCGGAGCTCTGGAAGGCCTTTTCAAGAGCTAGAGGCGTTATAGAATCAACCTTTTCAGCTGTGGCATCCTTACAGACGACTTTCGAGCCTTCTGTTCTTTGCAAAAGTTCGAAGGAGAATACGTCAGGCTGGTCGGACCAGTAACTACTGATTGAACAGCTTCGGCATCAGATCGCTGAACTCCTGCGCATTCAAGAGGGGGGCTTGTACGTGATTGGCCCCATCGTAAATGGTTGACATACGTCCAGATGCAGATGTCGATGCTGGTGATGCTGTTTTGATTCGCTATAAAGCTGATGTTAAGATAAAAGGTTGAGAAATAAGTTAGTGCAAAAGCACCTCAGTTTTGGACTCTTCATCATTTTTCAGCGTAAATACTTGGGGGGACATCCTCATGTTGTTGCTATAGTTTAAATATCATTCCTACACCATGCCCCATGTTTTTTCATGCCTTTCCATTTCGCATTCCTACCCAGCACATTTCCTTGCTGTTTATGTTCTTAAGCCCAAATTCGTATAACCAATTAGTTAACTACTTCCCGCCTCCCCGTTTGAGCTGTATGGTGCGTTCCACCCCCGTTTTTCCTCATCAGCCTGCCACCATGTCATATACTTTCTTCCCGTGTCGAAATAACTACCTGGGCCTGAAGATGGACTTTCCGCAGGTGGACTAAAGGGTCTCCGTGGTGCAATATCCCATGCGAAGTAGACGTATGTAGGCTCATACAAGTCCATATGTTTGATTGCCTCGAGATACCAGTTTAACGCAAATACTAGCAGCCATCAGAATTGCTTTGAAGCCAGCTGGGTCCGGATAAACCCGTTTCCGATAGTTATTTAGCACCATGTAGTAAAAATGCGCTGCTGATTGGCCAAGTCCACGCTCAAAACGAACCAACACCGGAAATTGTTTGATATTCGGCCTCGAAATCAAGATTAACTTCAAACCAAACCAACATCGACTGGGTTTCTTTGTCCTCGGGAGAAAGAACGAGCTTAACTACCCCCTTCTCCAAGTCCTTTTAATCTCTCTCTACTATTCTCTGGCGTTCACGGTCTACTAGGCGCTTGCGGCTTCTACGGAGCAGACACTGACGGGAAAGAAAAAAGGGGCGACAGTGGACGGTAGTGATTGTCCTGTTGGTCGGGACTAGCAGCTAGCCAGCGGTAGTTCGGTAGATCGATTCATTGGTTCGATCAATTCTGTGTGTTGGTTGGGATATTGCGCATTCCCCGTTGCGGATTTTAACAAAGTCTTCAGACGTCGAGCCTTAGAAACGCCTTTGGTTCTTGAGTTCCTGCCGGAGTGGATCAATCTCCAAAGGGATTTTCCGAAGAGCTCTTTGCGGCTGTTGACGGAAGGATTAATAAATTGATACTGCGAGGTGCAGGAGGCTGGAATAGGCCGAAACGTAAGAGCAAGCAAAGACAAAGCGAAAGGTGGCATAATGGTGGACCATGAATCTCGCGGCAGCGGAGGCGGTGGCCACGGACCTCGGGGAGGACATAACCAGAGAAAAAGACGGTATAGAGGTGCGTATTTTCTTTCGTTTTCAAAGTTCATATCGTGCCATGTCGTGAACCAGCTAGCAGCTTTCCTTTCTACAACGAAGGATTATCCTTTCGCGGGACTTTGTTGGCTAATTCGAATTCGAATTGTATTTCTAGATGACGATGACTACGATCGCAGACAGCAGCGGAGGAGGTATGAGGAGCCCCTTGCGGTGACTGTGCGGAAACAATTGGCTACAATTGCGGAGTCGGTAAGGAATCTAATTTCCTATGCTGCCGATGGTGGTTTGAGATGGATGAATGGCTGGAGACTAATTTGATTATGGTAGGCTGTAAGGAAGGCCGAGGACGACGTGGCCCAGATCGCGAAGACGGTGTCAGAGCACTATGGGGATGAGGATCCGGAGGTTAAGAATACGTTTGTGACGCTTGTTTTGCAGCTGTACGTGGTGTATTCGTGATATATATATATATATATATACCCCTTTTGCTCATCAAAGCGCGCAGAGTATACTAACACAAGAAAACGATACTGCAGAATCGGCGAGCAACCGCTCAAGATCCCCTTTGTCGCCGCCACGGTGCTCACCGCAAACACCATGAAGCCGGAGCTGGCAGCGGAGGTGTTGAAAAAGGTCGGAGAAATTGCACAGTCACACATCAAGGCTGGTAACTGGCGCGATGTCAAGCTTGTGTTGCGGTTTCTGGCCTGCTTGCAGGGTTTGTTTGAAGGCGAAGGCATCTTCCCGCTGCTGGAAGAGTTGTTTTCGCGCGCTGTTGATTTGCAAACAGCTTCTTCGGAAGATGTAGGTGCATGGCTGTTTCTCGTTATGGGGATGATGGGTCTCCCGTCTCTGTGGTTGAATATCGATGCTGATTTGACTCATTTTATAGTCCCTGGGATTGGAACTTGTGAAGATCATTCTTTTCACTATTCCTTATATCATGTCATCTTCTGCTTCTGGCTTCGAGGCTCAAGCTTCTGCCCTCCTGGAGAAAACGGATATCATCGCCTCGACACCGCATACGCTAGAAGAATTGGTTGATCCCTTCCCGTCTAACGAAGGAAATGAGGAGAACAGAATGAGCGTCATCGGCCTCTTGCAGAAGCAGCTCCAAGATGAAGCAAAACAAGGCTGGGAGCTTTTTTGTATACCACGACCATGGACTGGGTTGATTCCCGCCAACAAACCCAGAGAAAGCGAAAATGAAGAAAATGCAGAGGCAAAAGAAGGGGAAGAACAAAACGAAGAAACTCAAGACCCTTTCAAAACCGCAACCAAGCACATATTTCCCACCATCGCCGTTCCCAACCCAGTCCCCAACGGGCCCAAACCCATCTTCCCAGACGTCTATTTCTCCGTCTACCTAGACCAAGACCTGGAAACTGTCCCACCCATCACAGACGTTGCGGCCTCTTTGCTGCGTGACGCTCTGGCCGACACAATCGATATGCTAGACTTCAACCGCATCGCAACGGCCAAATTCCTCATTGACGTCGATTGCTACTTTGCGCCCAGCACCTTCATCAAGCGCGCGACGCCCTTTGACAAGATCCGGGACGCCGTCAATGCGGGAGTCGGCGATCGCTCGACCTGGAAGCCCGAAGATGTTGCCGTCGACGCGGTATTTTCGCTTCTTTTCCAACTACCCTCAGCTGAGCATAAGCTTGTCTACTACCATTCTGTCCTCACGGAAGCATGCAAGATTGCGCCTGCTGCTATTGCGCCGAGTTTGGGGAGGGCGATTCGTTTCTTGTACAGGAATGTTGAGCGGATGGATTTAGCGCTTTCGTATAGGTTTTTGGATTGGTTTGCGCATCATTTGAGTAATTTTGGGTTTACGTGGAAGTGGACTGAATGGTAAGTGGCATGTTTCCTTCTCGGGGGCATTTATAAAGGGGGGATTTAATCTGAGAATCCATTTTGTTGTATTCTTCTATTACAGTATGCTGACATTTACCTTAAAGGGTTGATGATGTCGAATTGCCAGCAATCCACCCCAAGAAATCGTTTATCTGTGGTGCCTTGGATAAGGAGATCCGACTTAGCTTTGCGCAGCGTATCAAGGGAACCCTACCAGAGCCTTACCAGGCCTTAATCTCCGAGAACAAAGAGAAGGACACGCCTGATTTCAAATACTCCCTCGAAAGTAAGTGTTCACTCTGCATTTTGTCTTGCCACACTCGCCCTCACTAACAATACACACAGCAACCCCCTACGCCACCGAAGCGCAAGAAATCATGCAACTTATCCGCAAAAAAGCGACTGACGCGGACCTCCAACCTCACATCCAAGCCATCGAACAGCAAGCAGCAGCATCGGGCGTCACAGATCCCCTAATCCCTTCAACAGACGCCTTCGTAACCTCCATCTGCTACGTAGGCTCCAAATCCCTCTCCCACGTCCTCTCCTGCATCGAGCGGAGTAAAGAACGCCTGCTATCCATCGGCCCCCAATCCCCGGCCGCCCGCCGGCAAATCATCACCTCCGTCCTCGAGTACTGGGCCGACCAGCCCGGCATAGGCGTGAACATCATCGACAAGTTGCTGAACTACGCCATCCTCACGCCGTTGTCTGTCATAGAGTGGGCGCTTGTGGATCACATCGATGGCGGAGCGGCGCTGGCTAAGGCTCATGTGTATGAGATGGTTGCCGCGACGATGGGCAAGGTTACGAATCGGATAAGACAGATTGTGGCTGCAAGGGTGCAACTGGGTCTTGTTGAGCCGCAGTTGTCTGTTATTGATGAGACGTTGAGGAAGGAGAGAGGGGACGTTGGGGTTATGTTTGATGTTATTGAGGGGGCGCTTGTGGGTGTTGTTGGCGGTGCTGGGGCTGGTGATGGGATGCAGGGGAATGGGGCAATGGAAGGGGAGGGTGGGATTATTCCGGAGTGGGGGAGGAGGTGGTTGAGGGTTTTCAGGCGGATGAAGGCGGTTGAGGAGGCTTTTTTTACGGAGGCGATGACAAGGGCGGTGCCTGTTGGGACGATGCCACCCGTGCAGCAACAGCAGGTTGAAGAGGTTTCGGCACCGGCTGAAGCTGAGGCTGCTGCTGTGGAAAATAACACTGAGATGGCCGATGTCGAGTAAGTGAGGGGGCATAAACCTATATTCTGAACTTGATATTGTAAGAGGTTTGATATGAGCAAAAATTCAATTTTTGTATTCTGATAATTTTCTTTCCTAACTCTTTGTACTCTACCGTACCATGTGCCAATTTTTTTTTTTTTTCTTTTCTCTTACATTCTCTGGATTTAATATTGATTGGCAATTTCTTTTGAAACTAGTGTCACTTTTGAAAATTTCTTTTCCACTTGACTATATTTTAAAATGCGTGAAAAGCACATATCAATTCACGAAGTTGCAGACTCCACCTAGGGATTCATGCCTTGTCTCCTTCTCTTCACCCCGTTTCCCCCTTGCTATATAGCTTTCAGGTCGTTTTCTTTCAAAGCAAACTACGCCAAATAACCAGGAACCTCTCCGCCTAAAGGAGATGTACCTTCAAAGAATATCCCAAGCAAAGATCAATTCCTGATATAAATACGATTCTGCCTCATCGAACAGTGCGAGAGAGGGGAATATTATCTAGTTTGAAATAAAAAACCCACTTCAACTCTTATGGAAAGGATTACTTCTTTTCATTCTTAATTGCTGCCATCAACGTTAACCTATAGAAGTACACAATAAATAATCTGTCTTCTGATCGATGAAAGGTATTAAAACATATAGGAATGATGAAGAAACAAGAGGAAAGGGGGTAAATCTCAGTAGGGATGTAAAAAAGGAGACAAAAAAAGCTATGGAAATGACAAGAAGGAAGAAAGAAAGAAGAAAGTAAGAAAGAAGAAAGTTAGTAAGAACAGAAGAACAGAAGAACAGAAGAACAGAAGAACAGAAATCAAATAGACAATCATCTTTCACAAGTCATCTATTGGCCACATCCACATCCATCATCACATCTATTGTTAGCAATAAGGTTAAAAGTATAAAGTAACTTCCCCTCCAGCATTTAACATCTCACTCCCCACTCTCACCTTCGATACGCTCAATCACATATCCATACCACCCCAATCACAACCACAACCAAAATTCAACACCAATCATCAAACAGAACAAATACCTAGAAAAGAAACACCGAAACTCCTCCAATCGAAGTCTGCAGTGAGTGGGTGAAAAGGGGGAAAGAGGTGAGACAAAGGAAGAGGGCCAGTCTCGGGAAGAAGCAAGAAAAATGTACATAAAAAGTGGGAAGCTGGTGGGAATCCGTGTGCGTTTGACTGTCCGGGAGCCATAGATTGTTGGTATAGGGAAGCAACGGCGGTACAGGGCGAAGGAGGGAGGTTTTCAGAGCCACTGGGGCCAAAATCGGAGACCATCTCTTCCATGGGTTGTTTTTGATTCTCCCTATTTTTGGCTCGAATGGGAGTTTCCATTGGGATTCAGAATGATGCGAAATGCGAAATGAGAACGAGCGGAAACACGGCCAAAATCTTTGACTCAAATCCCACCCCCCAAATTACTAAAACAAGGAGAGGAATATATACCGTCCCGGTCCCATCCATCCAATATTAAATATCTCCTCCCCTTTCAACATAAACACCATCATCATCACGACGAAAACACAGTCCAGTAGGATATTGTCAAAACGGAAAACAAGAGAGAAAACCGCCCTACATCGTCTTCTTACTTTCCTGAACGTCACCCCCATCATACGTCCTATCATCATTACCCTCCACAGCCTTAACAACCCTCTCCATCTCCCTCGCCTGCCTCTCCCACTCCTCCTTCACCAACTTCGTCTCCTTATGAAAAAGCTCTTTATTTGGCTTCCGATAACTGCCCCCCAGCCGGTCCCACAGTGTCGTAAACTGCCCGTAGTTGTAGTTGAAATACAAATGGTGCATGGTATGGCATGCCGCTCCGTTGATTAACGGGGAGTTGGCGACGTACTCGCCGTCGTGGATGAGGATGGTCCAAATATTGATGGTGACAAAGAGGAAGACCGAGGCGAATTTCTGCAAGGGGAAGATGAAAGGGAAGATGTGGTAGGGGAGGCCTTGGGCGTAGCCATCCAACGGGTGGAAGGCGTGCGAGGCGTATGGGGTTGGCATGATCCATTTGTGGTGTGGTTTGTGGAGGCGTTTGTAGAGTAAGGGGTGGTGGAGGCCACGGTGGATCCAGTAGATAAAGAAGTCGGTGAAGAGGATGAAGAAGGGGAATTGGAGGTAGTTGTAAAGGGGGAAGGGGGCGTCAGAAAGATTGTCGTATAGTTTTGCGTAGCCACGGACTTCGAGAAGGAAGATGGGGGCGGTGAGGACGGCCATTAAGGGGAGGGAAATGGAGGTTTGTTTTATTTCCATTCGGATTTGGTTTTTGAGGTATTTGGGGTGGTTGAAGGTTGATTTGTCGAAGACGAAGATGTAGGAGAGGGTGGCGAAGATGAAGTAGATGATTAGGCCGAAGATCCTATTTTTTTTTTTTTTTTTTTTAATGTGTGAGTAAAAAAGGTAAGGCCAATGGTTTGTTTTTGATGGGGATGGTGGTGATGTATATACATACCAAGTGATGAGATACAGAGTCAATCCCTGCCTGAATATATTATCTCTCTGCAGCGAGGACATGTATGCGTACTTGGAGGGTTGCAGGCTGAAATACGAGGATGAGGGCTGGTATACATATTCTCCGGCACTGGCGAAGATAGAGCCCGTTACATTGGCGCCATTGCTGATGGTTGGGGATAGGGGCGCACCACCAGCCGCGCCGGCAGCACCCTTTGCAGGCGCAAAAGTAGCGTAGAGGTAGTCAAAGACGAGCGTATCGAAGATCTCCAGCACCACATCCATGGCTGGCAGAGGGATTTTGGATTCTCTCTTGTAATTCTACTACTTTCTTAAATTTTTTTTTTTTGTAGTTTGTTGAGGGAAAGAAGCTGGCCTCGAATGAGGCTATCTTCAATTGGGTTTGCCAACCTGCTGTCAAGCCGTTGTCAATCCAGTTGGATTGGGCAGTTGAATGAGTTGAATGTATCTGTCGGTGACAAAGAGCGTCAAAAGAAATAAGAAGAAGAAGAAGAAGAAGAAGAAGAAGAAGGTACGAGAGGATTTGATGTGACAGCAACTCAAGCAGAGGGTACGAGCGATTTGGGCGGAGGATGAACAGCAATTGGATATACGAGGAATCAGGAGAAGTTCAGGAGATTGAAAAACTGTGCTGGTTGGTAGGTACCAAGCTTGCTGTTTGGAGGGTCGAAACGCGCTTGGCCCTTTGTATTGGCCCGAGGCGAGTCAGGTGAGTCGGAGTCGACTGGAGCCGGGACGTATTAGGTAAGCCGCGTTATCTTATCAATCTCATCTGTCAACTGACTATGCTGGGTTACAGGTTGCGCCGCGCCAAGAGTTTGAATCATCTGGCAGGTTTGGAGGAGGTGCATGGTTGAGGGTAAGCTCTTGAAGAAACCAGACAATCTCTGAAGTTACCGTGAGTTGTCAAAGAGTGTTAAACTTTTTTGGACAACAGCACGCACTGTGGCACGATTCGGTTCCCCAAGGGTGGATCTGATGAAAAGTCTGCTTACCCAGAATACCCAGGTAGGCTGCATTGTACAACTAAAAGCAGCCCGGGGGGGAGGGGGGGTGGTGGTGGTGATGATGATGATGATGATGATGATGATGATGAAGCTGACGATGACGATGATGGAGAAGGGGATATGCTACTAAGCAGCTAGATATTTACTCTCGAATTCGACAGACGATGATTTTGCTGAGAGACAGAAGAGAGAAGAGATCTGATCCGGAAATAATAGAGTTCAGATTCTAAAAGGGACACCAGACGACAGAGAGACAGACATAAGCCAAGCCACGCCACGCCACGCCACGCCACCTCCCCCACCTCCCCACCCCCCCCCGCTCTCTCCGTTCTCTCAATCTACGGATATTGTAGGTTCTACGGAGTAACGGAGTAATTATGTATAATATTGTGTATCAGCGGTGAGCGATCAACCCCCTTTTCCCCGTGGTTGTCAATGGGGGGCCCAGCAAAGGGAGAGAGAGGAACAAAACTCAATGAGAACGGCTCGGCCGTTGTCCAGACTTTTGGAGGTCGGGGGGTGTGGCTGGGTGGTGGCTGGTGTGGCAGGCTTCAACGACCAAAGCGCTTAATATCAGCAAGAACCCTTTAGATGCAGGCGGCGAATGGTCTTCTTTGTAATGCGGTTTATGTAGACGGTGAAAATATGCATGTGGTTGCATGTCGGTGCATGTTTGGTGCATGTAGTGCAGGTATGCAGGTATTTGAGGTATTGTGTGTATCAACCAAAAGGACGTCGGGTGGACCTTGGCTGGTAGGTAGGGGATATAAAAATAAGTCTCTGCAAATTTTAGTCAAAACACAGGGTGTGAAATCGGGAACCCTTGTCGCTGTAGGGTAGGATTGATCTGAAAATATGTGCGCTGCATTTATGGAAAACAATCTTGTTGTATCCGTTCAAAAAACAAACGTAAACTGTGATACGCTCTTCTAAAAAAAAAAAAAAAAAAAAAACCCCTTGGTTCATCGTTCATGCCAGAGTCATCGGGTGGTTGCGTACATCCAATATCTATTTAGTCTACCTGTACGACCCCCCAAACCAACAGCGCGAGAAGTGGATCTCTCCCACTTCTCCATACCCCGTACTGATTGAGTGGAGTTGAGTTGATCATTCAGCGTAGAGATATCGTATGTATATACCCTTCTTATATGGGTCGCGGAAAAGAAGAGACTGGTAGCTTAGTTAGTTATCTAGATAGATACAGACGCAAAATAAAAAGTTAAAAGTCAAACTCAAGCAAGTACCTTAGATCCAACCTTGGGTCTGGGAATATTTATTCTCCTTTTTCCCCTTTCTCCTTTTCTCCCTCATCAAAAGTGAAGTTAAAACGGTCAGTAAGCTTTCGTTAGTACTTATTAGCAGTTTTGTTAGCTGTAGTAGTTTAGTCTCGGCTAATACAGAGTATAATGCTATCTAACTTTTCTATCCGTGTCTCCACCCGCTCAAAGAAACAGAGAAGCAACAGTACAAAGTAGCCTGCAGAAAATAATAACCACCTCTTTTATAGCCTACCTTGGGCCAGAGTCTGAGCCTCCTCCTCATTCATTTCAATTCCAGGTTCAAACGCCACAACTAGGTACAGGACTACCGTTGCTGTTAATGTTGTTGTGATCGGGTGCCACTGAGGGAGTATCCATATTCCCCTTGTGGTGATAGTCAGCCCATCTTTTCTTTCTCCTTCTTCTTCCAACTTTCCTGTCTTCTCTTCTTCCCTCTCATCTTATCACATCCACCGCCACTAACCGCCGACATCATCATTTCAACAGTTGTTGCCAATTACCCTATTTGCTCCCTCTCTTCCTGGTTTTTGTTTTTTGTTTTATTTTGTTTTTTATTTTATATATTTTTTTGGGGGGTGGTTGTCTGTCTCATCATTCTTTCTTTCTCCCCAGTCTCTGCTGCTGCCAAACTTCGCTTCTGGCGGCAATTTTTCAGCCTCATCTCCCGTTTAGGTAAGCTTCCCCCCCCTCTCTAACGGCGAGCCCAACAACGCTTGTGCAATTCCAACCTCATCCAGAACAAACAAGCATCAACAACCACCACAACTACTGCCACTACCATCGGCTATTCGACATAATCCCATCTAAACTCCCTCTCCCTAATCTACTTCTTACCGTCCCGTCTCCCTCCACGCTTCTCACTGGCACGAAACAACTAACCCGTTCAACCCAGCCTACCAACTACCGCAGCTCTCTTCCTGTCTTCCTTTCAGACAGTGCAACTCAAATAATCAACATAACTTCTTACCTTAGGCCAGCCTCGCCCTCAAGGCTTGTGCCAACATGTATAACCCACACCGTGGTATGGTTACTGCTCCAAACTCACGATTGACAGAGCTGCTCGATCAGCTGCGCCAGGAGTATGAGAACCAGTCGCGGAATACCGGCGAGTTTGAACATCAACGTGTGTTCCCCCCCCTCCCCCTCTTTCTTTCTTCCTTCCTTCCTTCCTTTTTCTTCTTCTTATAATACCCTCCCAACCCTTATCTCGGAAACAGGTGTAGCCATCTCTCTGTCATGTCTGCAATTACAATAGACGCAACGTGCATATGAACGCATGGTTTTGCGCCCGATGTTGTCATCAAATACCCCCTTTTTGCACACTGTTAACCGTTCACTGACAAACTTTTGCATTTGCATTCACAGTCACGGGCCAACTCCAGGAGATGGAGATGATCAGACAGAAAGTGTACCAGCTGGAGCAGGCGCAGATAAAAATGAAGCAAGAGTACGTCTTCGGCTCTTATTTATAATCCTCATAAATGATCTCGAGTGAGAGTGTTTGCTAACTGTCTCTGCACTTGCTTTCAAGATACGAGGCTGAAATCCGCACTCTTCGAATGGAACTCGAATCTCGTGGCGTGCATCTCCCCCAGTCTCACATTGGTGGTCCCCCAACACATGCTGGGCCTTCTCAAGCTCCTCCTCCCGCGCTTGGACATGGCCCTGCCAATCTGTTTGGCGGCATCATGACCAACCCAGGAGGTGGAGCTCCAGCCCTTGCGCCCCCTCCTCCTCCACAGGACCAGCAACAACCGCCCCAGCACGCTCTTCAGCAACCCGGTTCTGGCGCCCAAGGCCCTCCTCAACCACAGCAAGGTGCCTTTGGAGGGTATCAGCCTGCCTCTGCAGTTAACGGTATGTCCCAACGTCACAAAATATGGGAAAAGCAAAATTCTGATCAAAACTGTTATAGGTTATGGACCTCCACCTCCCGCTCCAACCTCGTCCCCAGGCCCTGGAAAAGGCAGAGCCAGTCGCGCACCTCCCGGTCCAGCCACCCCCCAACAGAACCATCAAGTCGCCTATCCCGACACTCGTGCATCCCCTCAGATGCCCCGCCCCACTCCTCCTGGCCAGCAACTGAGCTATCGCGTAGGAAACACACTCGCAGACCTGGATCCTGACAAGTTGCCCCCCAGCCAAAAGCGCGAAGGTTCTGATTGGTACGCCGTTTTCAACCCGGAGGTTCCTCGTTTGCTGGATGTCGACCTTGTCCACCATCTCGTTCATGACAGTGTAGTTTGTTGTGTTAGGTTCAGCAATGATGGGAAATTTGTTGCTACGGGCTGCAATCGCTCTGCGCAGATCTTTGACGTTCAGAGTGGACAGCTTGTCACCTCTTTGCAAGATGATTCTGTTCTTGATAAGGAAGGGGACCTTTATATCCGTAGCGTCTGCTTTAGTCCAGATGGGAGATACCTTGCTACTGGTGCAGAAGATAAACAGATTAGAGTAAGGACATCCCTTGTTCTTTTTCTTTCTGCTATTTATATATTGTTTCCATTCCACCAACTAACCTCCACCTACAGGTCTGGGATATCCAAAAACGCACCATAAAACACATCTTCTCCGGCCACGAACAAGATATCTACTCTCTCGACTTCGCCCGCAATGGCCGCTACATTGCCTCCGGCTCCGGCGACAAAACCGTCCGCCTCTGGGACATCGTCGACGGCAAGCAGGAACTAATCCTCAGCATCGAAGATGGCGTTACTACCGTCGCCATATCTCCCGATGGCCGCTTCGTCGCTGCCGGTTCCCTCGATAAGAGTGTTCGGGTCTGGGATACGACGACTGGATATCTTATTGAGCGTCTTGAGAATCCGGATGGGCATATGGATAGTGTGTATTCTGTGGCGTTTGCGCCGAATGGGAGGGATCTTGTGTCGGGCAGTTTGGATAAGACTATTAAATTGTGGGAGTTGACGCCGCCTAGAGGGATGGTCCCTGGTTCTGGTCCTAAGGGTGGCAAGTGTGTTAGGACTTTTGAGGGGCATAAGGTGGGTTTCCCCTCTTTTTGTGTCAATTCAAGTTGATGAAGGCTGTAACTGACATATCTATGTTTCTTCGCAGGATTTTGTTCTTAGTGTCTGCTTGACACCCGATGGACGCTGGGTTATGAGTGGATCTAAGGATCGTGGCGTACAGTTCTGGGATCCAGCGACTGGGAATGCGCAGATGATGCTTCAGGGCCATAAGAATTCAGGTTCGTTATTCGTTTTTATTCTTTGTTTCTGCGGCCCCCCTCCTTTTGTCTCTCAAGCTAACCATATCCTCCTTCGTTAGTTATCTCCGTCGCACCCAGCCCAGTCGGCAACCTGTTTGCGACCGGAAGCGGAGACATGCGTGCTAGAATCTGGAGGTTAGTTTCAACCCTCAACGTTTGATATCATATATTTGCGTTTCTGTTCATCCTCGTTATCACCGCCGTCATCATATAATTCGCGCTCCCTTGCCCCTTCTACCATAGTTTGTCTTTGTATCCACTCTTATTTATTCTCCTTCATGTCCCAGTATACTAACGTCTACAAAACCTAACTCTCGACATGGGATTTACAGCTATTCCAATTGGGATCCCAGAAGGTCATAGGTTATGTTTAATTCACAAGCGGACGCAGGCACGCTCACGCATATGGCAGAACTTGCAAAACATGCAGTTGGGCATATATTTAAATATGCGCAACACGTAACTTTGCCAGAGGAAGGAAATAAAGGAGGAAACGGGCCAAGGGAAAGGGGAAAGGCGTTCTGTGGCTACTACATTTACCGGCTCTTGCGATTGATTGGTCTTGCAATTAATACTGATATGGAAACGGATGCCTGCTTTCTTCCAAATCGTTGCTATCGTCTTCCTCTTCTCCCTTTTTACTCCCGTCCTCTTCATTCTGGCGAATTGTATCATGCTCGTTGGAGAAAAAAATTGATTGAAAAAATTGTAAAACTGAAAAAAAAAAAGGAAAAAAGGAATGGTTTTATGAGGTTTGATTATGGTTACTTTCTCAATTTTTCTTCTCTCTTTTCTAATTTTCCTCTCCTCTTCTTTGAACACCTCCCCTTTTTGTTCTTCATGGTTCATGTATGGGGTGTTTCCATTCTATCAAAGTCTGTTGTTTACCTCCTTTTTTCATATGATTTTTTGATGAATTTTTCTTTCTTCCCTGTTTCATTTGGTGTTTCTTCTTTGCTTCTTGCCATTTTTCGAACTCCTGAATGACGGGAGGTTTTTATGGGGATTGGATGCAATGAGATGTTGGAGAAATTGTGAATAAATGCTCTTTTTTTTTTTTTTGGTTCCCTTCAAAAGAGGGCTTTGTCAGAGAGTGAGTGAGTGCTTCCATGCCGTGTCAAACAAAGTCTAGTTGAAATAAAGATTTCGTTGATCCTTGCTATTCTTGTCGTCCCTTTTTTTAATTTTTCGCCATGTCATGGTTTAAGAGTTGTAGATTGCTGTGGAAGTGTTTTTTCAACGTCTTTATATTATTCTTCTGATAATTACTTTTACAGCATGCTTAATGAATCGTGTGAGACAGGCAGCATGCCTACAGATTGATTCATGCCACAGCAGCATACAGAGCGCGCGATCCAGGGCCACCCCACGTGTAGTTAAGCGAAAGCTCTCTCTGGATATAACCAACTACTTCGTGACCTGCTCCATCACGCTTTTTCTCTTTTCTTTTCTTTTCTTTTTCTTTTCTTTTTCTCTTTTTTCTTTTTCTTTTTTCTTTTTCTTTTTCTTTTTCTTTGGTTTTCCTTCTAGATCCTTACTCTTTCCACTTCGTTCTCGCCCTCTCCGGTAAGGACGTGTGGCATGGCAACCACTACACGATAAAACCGCGGGTTATTTTGAGAGTAAAAAAAGGGTAGAAGCTTTAGCCGTTCATTTTTGCCGGAAAACGGGGGAATTCCTAGCAGAGGAGAAGCAGCCACACGGTGGGGGGGCGTTGGGGTTCTGATATTCTCGAAAATTGGCTCTCGTTTCAAGTTATGAATATTCCCGTTTGGTGGGGGGGGGGGGGGGGGATTCTACGCAGCGAGGCTATTAATTATTTGAAACGGAAGAAACAGGGGACAGGGTATGGATGATAGTGGGTGGGGATATCCTGTTCAAACGCAAGTTGGATGGCACAGAAACGAGATAGCACCAAAAAGTCCCAAGGCCCAAGACTGGACTACCCCGCCTGCCCGCCTTGCAATAGCCACCTGTGATATGTACATACATAGAAGCAGAGGGGAGGGGCCCCGGGTGTAGATGGTATTCGTTTAACAGGTCGCAAACGGGATACAGACCGCCGCAAGAAAAACTCGGAGAAGCAGCAGCAGCAGCAGCATGGGTCGTGTGTGGTGCATCGAAAACTATTTCAGCAAGGGCCGCGGGTCGGTGGGAGAGGATACGATTGGATATGTCGGCATTAGGATGTGGTGTGTGGATGGATTTATTCCCTACAGGGAGCTCCGCGGGTGCAGGGGTCGGGGGAGAAGTCAACAGATGCTGGATTGCGGTTAGGGCAACATTGGGCCGTTTTCCTTCCCCCAACCCAACAACGGTATTTATTTCAGGATGTTGCGATGTTGCTGCATGAATACACAATTGGCGGGATGGAGGTTTCAAGTGTTGGCCTCGATTCCAGGCCAACCCCTGCTCTGTTGGTTAGGCTGGCATCAACTAATCATATGGTTGCTCGAGAGCAGAAGAGAGAGTTCGGCTCTCATCCCTTTCTTTACATTTTCTACCTTCTAGTTTTATTTTTATCATTTTTGGCTGTTGGAGAGTGGAACACGGTTTTAACCAACTTCCTCTCTTCTGACGTAAATTTGAAATCCCGGCACGGGCAAAGGTCTTGTGAGTGTGGTCTAGATATTTGTTTTGTGCTCAGTAACTTTCCTGCTTGAATTGTAGAATTGTCACAATTGAAATAAAAAACTCAAGTGTCAATGGAAATGATCATTTGCAGAAATGCAGAATTTCTGAGATGTAAAATGTAGAGAGAAGATGAACATCGAATAGAAGGCAAAGACTGAAACTTATCAAACATATAGAACATTTCTCCATGATGATTCAGTGATGAGAGCAGACTAGAGATTGACCAACATTTCACTGAACAAGCCCGGGTATATACATGTATATCTCTCTGCTGGATATCAAATTGACTGATGAATGGAATCACAGTTGAACATCTCACCCATTCAAGGTATGACTTGACCTCAAGCTCACTCAATGATTATCAAGCACAAGAAAAAAAAAAAAAAAAAAAAAAGGTCTGCTTAGTGCTTTTCTTCATGGGCTCCATTGCAGACAGAGTATAAGCTGGTGATCAAAGAGTTTTCGTATGAAGCTTAACCAAAGCCAGAGGCTGATGGGGCCAACCAATTCCAGAACTCGAGGAGCGGGTGCAATTTGTAGTTGTAGAGGTGCCGCACATACAGGTATATACAGAGCATGCATGTACAGCAGAAGACGGGACGATTAGGGGAATCAGAAAGAATTGAGGTTCTGCATGGTTCGGGAAGAGTGTCACTCGCAGCAGAATACAATGTAGAAATATACCACTCTCCTCTCGCCGAAAGACAGACCAGGCTTTTTCTTTCCCAGGTATCCAGCGGACATTGAAATTGAATTTGCGAAGACGGCTCTTTAACCACCCATAATAAATATTGTTCAAATGTCAAGAAAAAGCATAAACTCAGCGATACTTGCCCATCAGCTGCGGCGAAATTGCTGTATTTTTTTTTTTTTACTTATTTATTTATTTTATATAGTTCAACGTAGAGCTGCTCGTATTTAGCAACGCAATAGTCTCAGCGAATGGTGTGAATACTGGCGCCTGTGTTGTATATATTCCTTGTGAGATAATAGCTCAGATTGAAAATGGTTTGCAAAGTTGGTGAAGGTTGTGATAGTAACAAAAAAAAAAAAATACTCGGTAATAAAATGATTATGATCCCGGAGATAAACATTCAGCCCTGTTCATTCATTCTTCAGCCATCCACTGCCTGCTCCAGAGCATCCAATGCAATTATTTTCCAGGCTTACACCTGACCCATCCGATATTTTGGAAATTCCCGTACAGACATACATACATACATACATACATACATACATACATACATACATACATATATGTGCATTTGCCCTTGATAGCCAAGTAAGTGGTGGTGGGCACAACACATCTGCTGGCTTCTTCCTCACTATCCCCCCAGTTATTGAACAGCTTCACTGTCCAGCCTCCGATTTCCACCCGTCTAGTTTCTAGGATCTGGAGCAATAGCCTGCTAGCTCTTTTGAGGAAGTCCTTTCATGTGCTCCACATCCAGCGAATGGTTGAACCTGGAAGGCGACTGGGGCTACATTACTCCGTTGGCTGAACATATCAACGTGAGGGAAGACCAAAGGTTGGGCACCTACTCTTCGCCCTTTGCACGACAAGGGACGCGGATGTAGTACTGCATCCTGAATCAGTTGATTTATCGGATGGAGGAATCTCGATCGACGATCGATATTCTCGTAGCAGATGACCCATTTCTGATTTGGAGTTCGGCAGACTGGTCCCGCATGGGGAGACGGAGAGGTCACTTCCTATGTTGTAAGAATGGGTCGACTCGTCTTCAATCATTATTCCTAGGATCAAAGCACACTTGGTAAGCACAGGGACATAATCAGCCACTCGCAGCCATTGCGGTTGTCGATTTAGGAGTGGCGAGACGTGTGGTAAAAAGTTCACCAGGTCAGAGCAGTACAATGGGGCTAGGAGTCCTGGGATTTATTGGATGCGGACATGCTCTCTCCTGTCGGAGTATTATTGCTTTTTATTGGAATCCCTTTCTTTTTCTTTTTTCCTTGATCGGAGATCAATGATCTCAGTGATCTGGCGGGTATTTGGTGAAAAGGGACCTTGATCCTGGTGATTTACTCGCGTCCTTTTGAATACGGATCAAGTAGTTACCTGGGGAGACGAACTCTCGTCGTTAGAGCTTCAAGGGTTCGTTGGCAATCAAAATCCCCACTAAACTCAAGGGTATTATAGCTCTTGTCCTCCCTGGAATTTGGCGGCGACTGCGGTTGAAGAGCTCTAGTGCAGGTTGGATTGAAGGGCATTCAATGCTCATGAAACGGCGGGGAGGGGGGACGTACTGAGACCGCTTCCGTTGGACCCCATTTTTTTTTTTTCTTCTTCTTTTTCCCCGGACTTGAATAGCCAGGCCATTTTCCTTTTTCTCTTCTTCCATCGAGCAAGCTGATGCGGGTGCCAATAATGATAGCTCCGTTAGGCGGCAAATTTATAAGCGTCTTTCAATAACTAACTAACTAACTTAGTTATGGGCATTTGGGCCCCCCCGCCCGACGATTCCGGAGCCCAAGAAGCCGGACAACGTGCTTGTTTCTGACTGC